TTATTATCATCTTGTCCATTAGCTGCTGCTATAATTTTATCAGCTATAATTCATTGGGCATTATTTAATTGAGCATACATTTTTTTACCAATTTCATATTCTTGGTTTTTATCAATTTGTTCTTTATTGCTAATTGTATCAGGAATTAGTGGTAATGATATATTAAAATTTTTTTCAAGAGATTTCGAAATTGTGCTAATTTTTAATTAATATTTTGATAAGCCAAAAATAAAGCAACTTCAGTACTATTACGATGGATAAAATCTTCACAAAGATGTTCTTTATATTGATTCCAAAGTTGTAGAGGATTATTAATATTACTCCAAATTAGTACTAATACAAATAGTTGTCTTAATTCTTTTGGCATTTGCCATTGGGCACCTCATCTATACATTTAATCCATTCATTATCATCATCTAGTAATTCTCTTGCCAAGCTGCTTTATGAAAAGATATACACTTATGATCATGAACAGTTCTAAGTTCCTGAAAACTTTTTGAACCAGGTGTGTGTAAAAGTAAAAGTCTGAGAGAGAATTGTTCTATATTCAATGGTGAAACAGTATACATTCTACCAATAATCTTCTCTGTATACTGTGTTCATTTTTTCCATAATCTAGTTTTTGTATCAAAGGTATAAAATAATGGAATATTATGATATATAATTTTTCTAGCATCAGTATTCTGTTTATTTAATTCAAACCATGTAGTTAATATTGTATTTTGAGCTTGCAAAGAATCAAGAGCCTCAGCCTCATTTTCATTATTGAAATAAACAGTTTGGTTTTCTGGCAAACGTACAGGTAATTGAATTACAGTGTGAGATTTTTCTTGCATTTTATATTTACTTAATCTCCAGAAAGCCTCAGATGCACTAACATATTGGGAATCTATAAAGGTTAAAATTTCATCATAATTAAGTACTTGCACATTGCTTCCTTCAATATTTTTTAATTGCAACTTTGCACAATCATAGCCCTTAAAAATATATTTATATAAGTATTTAAAGCTTTTTACTGAGGAACAAATTTCAACATTTATATGAGCTTGATATTTAATAACAAATATGGATTATGCAGTACAATCCAGCAATTATTTATTTCAGTTCATCCAACTATTATTGATCTACCAGTATCTCTTCAATAATACTTTGGATATCTATTATTATTTGAAATAGTTTCTTGACAATACTCTTTTGGGTAATCTTTAGTACATGTAGATTTATCTTCATTTATACTTGGTGCATCACAGTTTAGATAACCGCATGGGCTATGAACCATTGTTTTTGTAATAATTTCATATAATCATGGATGCTGAGTAGAATTTGGTATCACAGTTTATTATTCGATCAATAGTATTAGAATCTCTTGGCTTATGTTCATCTAAAAAAATTAATAACATATAACAATGAGGTAATCCACGTTTTTGAAACTCAATTACTCTTGTGTAAGCAACAACTTTTTCTAAAATTTCATTTTTTAATAAATCCTCCATTAGCATATAAAGCTTAAGTTTAAACACTTTGCCAACAATATCTGGTCTGTTAGTAGCAATTTGACCAGGATATAGTGATTAAGTAATTTCTTTCCAGGATAGATTATATATAATTGTTAAAAAAATATCAGGTTTGCCAAATGTTCTGCATATTGCCATTGCATCCTGATAATTTTGTTGCATTGCTCTTGGGCTACCTGGAAAGCTTGATGTTAATACAACAGTATGCCCTACTACAGCATCTTTTCCTCAGCAGCAACAAATAAATAATCTGCTAGTCCACAATATGTTTCAGCTCGTAGTGTTTTCTGATTCTGTTGTTGATAATTTAACCTTGTTGCATCAACTTTTACATATGCATCAACTAAATATTGCTAGAAAAGAGCACCAGCATATAAAATTGAATTAAAGCTATTTCTTTGTGCTATTCGATAGCAATAAAACTGAAGCATTAAAATATTTTCTCTTTTTTTTTCAATTTTGCTGATTGTTGGACATTTTTGGATACCAGCTTTTATCACCTTCTGGAAACAATACTGGATATGACATTGGATCACAATCTGCATTAAGCTGATTACTTCATAGATGTATAGCAAAACAATGAGAGAGAAAATTATAGTTTCCAGAACCAACAAATACAGCAGCAACTTCATTAATATGTGGTGCATTGTATCGGCATTGATCAAGACAATAATCATTTTCAAAAACTATCTGAATTTCCATTGGTTGGCATCCTTGATTTATTGCTATATTATGTTCTTCTTGCTGTAATTCCCTCATCATTTGAAATGCTTGAGCAAAGGGACTTACTTGTCATGACACTTCATCTAAAAATGATAACAGATTAGTGTTAAGATTTGCATTAATAGAGTTATTGTTTCGGTGTATTTGTGCATCAGCTGTTTCCATAAAATAAAGTTGTTCAAAGGTTGGAACTTCATTTGTATTTGGCTGTGCTGGTCCAAGAAAGTGATATATTTGTCCTGATATTTTATATACATATGGTCCATGACCAGAAGGTTTCTCAATATTTAATACAATAGAGCAAATACCAAAGCACCATTATATTTGCGAATGTGTTTGTGAAATAGTTTGGATAGTGAATGATTCCTAAGAAAAAGTAATTTTAGCTCATCAGGAAATGGTAATAAAGATAGTAATACGACAGTGCCTTTATAACAACAGGACATAAATTGGTCTAAGTCTTTGCCAGTTCGCTCTCTTTGAAAATGAAGTGCTCCACAATGACGGTATTCAATATCCATTCTACCAATATCTAATTCAAGAGGAAAATCTCTAGTAAAACCAAGAGCTTTATAGCATGAAGATGGTGTACAATTTTTATTTCTTGCTAAACGTTTCTTAATCTTGTCTTGTTCTTGTATATGCTGTTGTTGTGCAGATGATAAAGCAGCTCTTCTTCTATGTTTTGCTGCGGTCTCCTGAGCTCTTACCAACTCTGCATCTGGTTCTTGTCTTTTGTGGCATTTACAGTTTGCTTGTGCAGCTCTTCTTTCATTCATTTTATTATATGAGCAAGTTATGTTCTGATCTAAATTTGTATTTATAGAAAAAATTAATACATCAGAGTATATTAATTTTATTTAATATTACATGTAAAATTAGCTTTAAGTCAAAGTTTAAATTGTGAAAACTGGTATTACGAATTTATATATATTATAGTTTCATTAACCATGTTATTACATAATAGTTTTACTTAAGCAATATACATGATAATTTCATCAACATATAATAGCTTCACTTAAGCAATAACAATAATAATGTGTAAATTTTATAGGTAGATAATTATATACTAAAACTAATATCGAAAATGACCAAATACTATAGCTATTGTAGAATCGAATCAAACTAAGATGATTTCAAGTCAATAATTAGTCTTCTTTTAAAAAATTAACCATGTCCTTAGTTGTAAAGTTTTTCCGCCAATACATTTGCTATTATGATGTCAGTTTTATTCCAAGGTCAGTTATTTATAGCATTTTCTATTTTGCCCTTTGCCCGCTTCCAGGCTTTTAGATATGGCTTCCAGAATCCCAGCAACCTTTGAGTTTGACTGGATTACTATTTAGCACTGCCCTAACTGTGATACCTTTTTTATTATTTATCATTTTTTTGATAATTAATATCTCCACCCTGGCCCATAAGTTATTTTCCATTATAAGTTTTATCCAAATGAGCATTAGCTGTGCATCTATCATGTTTACAATTTCATGCATCATATTAAAGTTTTTTAGCATGAAGATTACACTAAAATGATGAATGTAAAAATTTCTTTATACTAAGATACATACATATAGATGTATATGTATATACATTACACTTAATATAGCCAACATATTAATTGCACTTTAATATATAGGCAACATATTAATCACGTAGTATTGATTAGACAATATTGAGGATCATCCAAATAGAGCCCTCTGATTGGTAATTTTGAGGATCATCAAAATGGAGCCCTCTGATTGGCCGGTGTTGTCAGACAGACATTCCACTTTAATATATAGATTGCGTAATTACTGGTAAAATATAATAAAATTAAATTGTAGGATTGTATCTGATTGGCAAATTTTTTAATCATAAAATTGCTTATAAAACCCTTATGAAACCGTTTAAGAATAATTTTGATTTTTTTAGCAGCTTTAGTTGGATAAACCAATTACAAATATCATTTGATTACAACATCCTATTCACAAAATTTTTATCAAAATTTTCGCCCATATAGATATCATTAATCAATGTTTTTATAATTAACAGTAGCGTAGTAGTAGCATAAATAGTAAAAACAAATAAAACTTAGATTGTAATAACTCTTGAACAAGTGAACACACACATATAAAATTATGTTTGTCAAGTTCATTTTAGTATACTCTTTGCGTAGCAGAGGACTTAATACTCATACAAAATATTTGGTTTGATTTTTTTTTAATAAAAAAAATTAAAAACATTATTTAAATATTTTTAGTTTATTGTTACAAAGATTTTTTATTTAAATTTTCCTTGTTAAATTTTCTATATTGTATTAATGCTATTGTTATATAATGGCTATGCATGGGTTAGAACCACAGATATTGGTTAGAATCATGAATCTTGATTTAGAACTATTAATATTGGTTTAAGACCACAGATCTTGGTTCTAGATTATATTTAGCACAAATAGGAGACCTTT